ACAATATAAAAATGTCAAGACAATGCCAACCTGATGCAAAGACAATATAAAAATGTCAAGACAATGCTAACTTAGTGGAACGACAATATAAAAATGTCAAGACAATGCCAACTTAATGCAAAGACAATATAAAAATGTCAAGACAATGCCAACTTAATGCAAAGACAATATAAAAATGTCAAGACAATGCCAACCTACTAGAAAGACAATATAACAATGTCAAGACAGTGCCAACCTCATGCAAAGACAATATAAAAATGTCAAGATAATGCCAACCTGATGCAAAGACAATATAGAAATGTCAAGAGAATGCCAACCTAATGGAAAGACAATATAAAAATGTCAAGACAATGCCAACCTAATGGAACGACAATATAAAAATGTCAAGACAATGCCATCCTAATGGAACGACAATAAAAAATGTCGAGACAATGCCAACTTAATGCAAAGACAATATAAAAATGTCAAGACAATGCCAACTTAATGCAAAGACAATATAAAAATGTCAAGACAATGCCAACCTAATGGAAAGACACTATACAAATGTCAAGACAATACCAACCTAATGGAAAGACACTATAAAAATGTCAAGACAATGCCAACCTAATGGAACGACAATATAAAAATGTCAAGACAATGCCAATCTAATGAAACGACAATATAAAAATGTCAAGACAATCCCAACCTAATAGAAAGACAATATAAAAATATCAAGACAATGCGAACCTAATGGAACGACAATATAAAAATGTCAAGACAATTCGAAGCTAATGGAACGACAATAAAAAATGTCAAGACAATGCCAACTTAATGCAAAGACAATATAAAAATGTCAAGACAATGCCAACCTGATGAAAAGACAATATAAAAATGTCAAGACAATGCCAACTTAATGCAAAGACAATATAAAAATGTCAAGACAATGCCAACCTAATGGAAAGACACTATAAAAATGTCAAGACAGTGCCAACCTAACGGAAAAACACTATAAAAATGTCAAGACAATGCCAACCTAATGGAAAGACACTATAAAAATGTCAAAGCAATGCCAACCTAATGCAAAGACAATATAAAAATGTCAAGACAATGCCAACCTAATGCAAAGACACTATAAAAATGTCAAGACAATGCCAACATAATGCAAAGACAATATGAAAATGTCAAGACAATGCAAATCTAATGCAAAGACAATATAAAAATGTCAAGACAATGCCAACCTAATGAAAAGACAATATAAACATGTCAAGACAATGCCAACCTAATGTAAAGACAATATAAACATGTCAATACAATGCCAGCCTAATGCAAAGCCAATATACAAATTTCAAGACAATGCCAACTTAATGCAAAGACAATATGAAAATGTCAAGACAATGCCAACTTAATGCAAAGACAATATGAAAATGTCAAGACAATGCCAACTTAATGCAAAGACAATATAAAAATGTCAAGACAATGACAACCTAATGGAAAGACAATAAAAAATGTCAAGACAATGCCAACCTAATGGAAAGACAATATAAATATGTCAAGACAATGCCAGCCTAATGCAAAGACAATATAAAAATGTCAAGACAATGCCAACCTAATGCAAAGACAATATAAAAATGTCAAGACAATGCCAACCTATTGGAAAGACAATATAAAAATGTCAAGACAATGCCAACCTAATGCAAAGACAACATAACAATGTCAAGACAATGCCAACTTAAAGCAAAGACAATATAAAAATGTCAAGACAATGCCAACTTAATGCAAAGACAATATAAAAATATCAAGACAATGCCAACCTAATAGAAGACATATAAAAATGTCAAACAATGCCAACTTAATGCAAAGACACTATAAAATGT